GAAATAAATACCAAGTCAAAATTTCATATTAATTTTAATAAATATATTAAAAATATATATTATAGATATATCATCATATGTATTTATATAAGCATTTATATCTATCAATTCAATATTCATATATATATATATTCTATTTTATCTTAATATCAGAATTATATCTTAATTGTTTCGTAGAATCCAATAATTATAAGCTCTCAATTAAGAATATATATTTTTTTGAAGAGTTATTCAAATTCATAAGAAAATAATTTCATAGCTTTGTCGGATTTATTTATTTTATGATAATATTTCTATCGTTTTTAATATAGAATCTATTACATATATATAATATGATATAAATTTCATTCTATAATCATAGGATGTTCAATATAGTTCTCATAATTTTATTCAGTTCAATTCAAGAATAACGATCTATATTTATTCAGATCATCGCGAATTCTCACGAACGAATCGTGAATATAAGTAGGGTTTTATTCACCATTTCCTACGATTAAAGAGATTTCGCCAATATCATCCATGTAAAATCATGAGAGTCCATGAAGGTATCAATGGTATCTCCTCTTTTAATTGCTACATCTCAGTGCGGCTATACAGCTCAAGCGCTTGAGTTTCGTGTTCACTGCTACATCTCAATGCGGCTATACAGCTCAAGCGCTTGAGTTTCGTGTTCACTGCTACATCTCAATGCGGCTATACAGCTCAAGTGCTTGAGTTTTCAACTTCTTCGTGATGTGATCCATATTGATCTCTTCCGCATTCCGCGTCCACAACTCCTCAATGACCTTCTTGGTTTCTGTCAATGGCACCTTTTCTCCATTGATGTCCTTTGCCAGGAATTGCTTGGACGTATACCTCAGGCGGAGAAGATCCGTTGCTGTGCCCAAGCGGCATTTCATCGTTTTTCGGAAACATGATTCCAAGGTAAGTCAGTTGTTGCGGAGAACATGTCCATGAAACTCAAAATTGAAAACCCAACCGTAAACCCTGTCTTGTCTGGTGTCGTCAGTTTAATTTAAGATGGACCCCGAAACCCAAAACCCTGAAGGCAAAGGAGCAATTCAACGGTTGCGGCAGAATCCTCCTCCTCGGCCGTAAAGTGATGTATCAACCAGATCCAGTCAGCCAATAGCTTCAAGTTCTCCTCCAACCCAAGGGTCCTCTGTGGGGTTTCGAGTCCGGGGTTTTGGTGGTTTTAGGGTTTTTTAGGTGTCTACGATGTGGGGCTCCGGGCAAGCAAGAAGAGGCTTCGGACCGGGGGTTCTGGGACTCTATAAACATGCCGTTGCAGGTTTAGGGTTGGACAAGTGACCGGCGGTGGACCCCGTCTGGTGCCACTGCCGCCATCGGCTATCTCTCCCACCCCATCAGTCCAAGGATGAAAATTTCTCAAGCGAAATCGGTGAAGTTTTGGACAAAGCTTGAAGGTCGCCTTTTCCCGGCGCAACCCTAAAACCTAGACCCCAAACCTAGAAGAAAGGCTATATAAAGATTCCGACCAACCCTCCGCCCGCCACTGAGCTCTCCACGGGCCCGAACCAACTTTGCCCTTCTCATACTCTTCCACAGAGAAAGCGCAGCGAAGCCGCAGGCGGTAGCCAAAGTGCCAATCCTGGCTGGTGAATGGTTCTGGGTTTGGGTTTAGGGCCAGAAATTCTCGCGACATCACAAAGTGCTTGCTGTTCTTTGACGTTTTCCTGCCAACAGTGCTGCTAACCTTACTACAGCTGCTAGAAATTGATCAAAATCAGGTTGCTTGGCTTATTCGTTAAATCTCAAACTGCACCCGCCTATCCCACGATATGCGACTAGTGTATGCTTGCGTGTCTGTGTGTGTGTGTGTCTCTGAATGTATGCACACACAGACACACAGCTCTCGTTCTCTCTCTCTCTCTCTCTCTCTCTCTTAGATGACTATCACTGCATGTGTGTATATCTTCATACAGGTTTAGATTACTGCGCTGCGTTCTTGATTGTGCTTAGAATCGGTTGGACCTTGTTCTTCGGGATGCGGCTTCTCGACCAGTCATGCATGTATATGCCTTTGTATTTGCTCGTCCATCAAAAATATTTCTTGATGTTACTGATACTGATGTTTTCTTTGTATGTCTTGTGCAAGTGGTCTTGTATATTTATTTTTATTTGTTTGTACACAGGCACACGTACACACGCAAACCCCAATAATAATAGCCACATTTCGTCCCATAGGGCGCCCCTGCCCTTGCTCGATCCTCGATTTTGAAAGGGAGCTGCAGGTTTGAGAGGTTGGGGCTTTGCATCTTTCTGGATCCTATCTCCGGCATCCGAACAAGAACAGGTAATTTCCTTCGTGCCACAGATTGAGACCGCAAGCCTTGTAATTGTAAGGATGTACTTCGGGCTTCACCCTCAATCCCAAAAGCCACACCCCCAGTCTCCTCAGGGTGCTTCTTCAGGCAGATGGAATCCAGAGAAGTTCTCTGATATGGCCATGAGCAGGTAGAATTCAGGTACTGCCTTGCGTGCTGCTTAGGTAACTAAAGCCAACATAGCCTGTAGATAACTACGACGTCTGCTGCAACTCCGGCCATAGAAAAGTGTGGACGCCGAGGTGCATAGTGCTGGCAAGTGATGCAGATGCATACAGCTTGGCATCATGTCTCACCAGCACAGGGCCTTCCATGAAGTTGTGCACTTTCAGGAAGTCGTGCAGGGAATAGAAATCCTGGTTGCAAATGCCCGTCAACATGGCATCTTGTAGCTGCAAACAGGAGGTCTTGACCACAAAGCCTAAACACACACAGGATTATCTGGGTATACTGAAACTCGAAGGCATACCCCCTTACACATCACCTCGCCTTGAAAGCCCTGCCATTTCACGAATGCACACGATCGTCTGAATAAATCCGGCCCTGGTCCCGGAGTACATGAAGCCAAATTGGACCTCTCTACCAGGCTCTCGACGGCTGAGGGTTTAGGGCTTAGGGCTCTACCTTTCCCAAGCCGCAACTACACACCAGTGCTCCTCAAGACCCCCTAAGCCGAAAGCCCTGACGCTCCCTAAACCCTAAACCCTAAAACCTAAACCCTAAAGCCCTAAACCCTGAAGCCCTAAAGCCCTGAACTCCTTGAGCTCAGTTGCCTGAGCGGCATAGAGCAGACCTAAGGCAAGGCGGCTCGAGGCCGGCTTCTCCCGATCGTCGACCATCACAGCCTTCGACAATTCTCGGATCGGTTTAGGGTTTATAGAAATTGTTAAGGGTTTGGGTGACAAAGTTTTGACCGAAAGTTTCGACCGAGTTTTGACCGAAACGTTTTGACTGAGTTTTTTTTTTGAAACCATACTTTGAATCTGGGGCTGGGCTGCTGGCTTCTGGGCTGGGCTGGTGATGGGTGGGATTGGGGCTGTGGCAGGCGGCCTGGGCGTGTTGGGCTAGGGGCGGGCTGGGCTGTGGGGCTGGCTGGGCTGGGGCTGGCTGGGCTTGGGCTGGCTGGGCTGGACGCCACCAAAAGGCTGGGGCTGGGGCGGCTGGGCTGGCGGGGCTAAGCTGTGGGATTGGGCTGTGGGTTCGTAGTTGAATGCGGGGTGGCAGGCTGGGTGGCTGGCCTGGGCTGGGCTGGGCCTGGGGGCTGGGCTGGCTGGTGGTTGGGCTGGGCCGGGCTGGGCTACCCTGAAACGGAAATTGATTTGTTTGAAAATGAAGCGGAAATTGGTTTCCTCGAAAATGGAAAGGTGTCTCTCCACCGAAAAAATGAGCTTCCGCATGGCCAACAGCAACAAGCAATTTCTATTTATTTCTTTCTTGAGGGTTTAGGGTTTAGGGTTGATCTTGGATTCACTCGGGGCCTTCATCATTGGAACAGGGTTTCGGGGTACGTTGTAGTACAGGAAAAGTGAGGATGGGTTCACAAAAATACGTGTTTTAGGCTTTAAAAATTTCTTGACCATGGGGGGGGGATGTAGGCATTGGCTTGGTTCTGCTGACATTTCTTTTTCAAGTTTAGCCGCTTAAGGATGTGCACAAACCCTCGACCCTAAACCCTGTCGCCGATGTACCCCAAAGCCTGAAAGCCCAAAGCCCACCCTACTCCCTAAACCCTACATCCCCAAAGCCCCAAAACCCTAAAACCCCTAAACCCTCAAACCCCTAAACCCTAAACCCCAAAGCCCCAAGCCCAAGACAACGCATTCTTTTTCTGCCGTTGGGGCCTTGAGTTCCACGAAGGAGTCGGTGCCTCCACGCGCCCACAGGTCCGCGTGCTTCAGCACCCCGATGGCATCCTTAGTGTTCAGGGTTTAGGGGCTTAGAGTTTAGAGCTTAGGGAGGGTTTAGGGTCTAGGGTTTTAGGGTTTAGGGCTTTAGGATGTAGGGCTTTAGGGGTGTAGGGTTTAGAGTTTGGGGTTTAAGGGCTTAGGGTTTAGGGTTTTAGGGTTTCAGGGTGTAGGGTTTTAGGGCGGAGGGCTTTAAGGTTTAGGGGTTTAGGGTTTAGAGTTTGGGGTTTAAGGGCTTAGGGGTGTAGGGTTTTAGGGTTTAGGGGTTTAGGGTTTAGAGTTTAGGGTTTTAGTAGTAGGGTCCTTCTAGACAATGAGGACCCTGATGTGTTGATGGCTTACGGTTTAGAGTCCTCTGCCTACAACATCCAAACCCATTCACTCGCTCGAGGGTGGACCGGTTCCAAGAACAAAACAAAAAGTCTGAGGCCATTGCTCTCTGAGAGCCCACCCCACGCCAACCAGAAGTACATACCTCTCCCGTTTGCACAGCCCGAAACCCCTAAAGGCCCTAAACCCTCCAGCTTAACCATGCACCCTGAAGCATAAAAAAAACCTACACCCTCCAATCTACACGCTAAACCGCACGCAAAACCACTAACAACCTCTTAACAACCCTTTCTTCAACATTTAAATACTTATAAAACCCCTTTCAAAGCCCAGAGTTCAGAGGCAAGACCCCCCTGTTACCACCCTTACAACACCCTTCTAAAAGCCCCTTCAGGGTTTAGGGTTTAGGGTCAGACCCTCCTAAAAGCCCCTTGTGTTTTCGGGGGTTTAGGGTTCACGGTTTCGGGTTTAGGGTTACTGGGTTCTTGTTAAGGGATTTAATTTAAGTTACCATTCTAAGGAAACCCTATCATGTACTATAGATCCCTACTATGGTA